GCACATGATATTACTTCAAGTAGGATGGTTAGTGGTTTATGGTTTGTTTTTGTAGTTTTTATGTGTTAATTAGTGACATAATTCATGATTGATGGGTGTGTCCTTTAACAAAGTAAAAATATCTACAGTTTTTCATTCCTGCTACTCTCGATCAAGGTTGGGCTGTCTATATGTGGGACATGCTGAGGAAGGAGATCCATGTTTTGGACCCTTTGTGTTGTCAAGTTGAAGGGGCAGATCAACGTCATATGATGCATGAGGAGGTTGTGTCGCAGATCCATAATGCGATGTTCAGTTGCTTGAATGATTTTTTCGCAAAGTGGCATTGCACATTTGAAAAATGGAAACGGAAGTTCCCGAGGATTGCCAATGATGTTTTCACAAGGTAATCCAGAAGTGGAAGTAAATCAAATTTTGTTGTGGTGGGAAGGTTTCATTTGTTGTTTAGTTATTCAAATTATTGCTCTGTTTTATCGCTAGGGACGAGTCTGGAATTTGTATGGTACATGCAATCAGGCAGTATGACGGAGAAAAGATGAAGTTGCCACTTACCAAGGTAATTGTGGTGGAGTTAATTTTTTTTAATATGGCCAATAGATTTTGAGGTTCATAGTTACATTATATTAGTTAGATGTTCGACTGGTTGTTGGTTGTGAAAAATGCAGAAGAACATTGCAAGCTTTCGGAAGTTGGTTGTGTTCAAGGTCTTTCGTTTATGCGACGAGCGTGGGGAATTTGTTGCTGAGAGTGTTCTGCGTGCGGCGTTCGATGAACCTGAGGGATGAGAAGTGTGAAATGAATGTGTATGCTGATGGGGTTTAGCAGAGAGGAGTGAACCAGAATATGTGCCTGACTTACGAGTACCTATTTCCAAGACAGTTACTCAACTTCCATCGCCGCTTGACAATAAATCCCATGATTTGATGGAATCATGTGTCTTAAATGTATGGCATTATATTATGCCTCTCGTGTTATGTAGGAAGAATGTAAGATTTTTATGTTTTGTAGTGTGCAATGTCCTTGACCATGAACCTTAAAAATAATAAAATGCTTCCAAAACGAGTTTTTCAGGATGTAAGTTCAGCAATGTTGAAATTGGTTGATGGGGGATTTACTTTTACTTGCTGAGGAGTGATGTTCCCATTTTCTGTGTGTACGATGGTTAATAATTGGTGTTTTGTAATACACAAATGTTGTTAAATTGATTTGGCTTCAGTCGGAGCTCAGATTTGCTTATTGTTTGTCTGGATGGGATCGAGACGTTTTCGATTGGGCTTTTGATGGCTCCTGATTGTTGCCGGACAAATCATTATCTGGATCGTACTCGCCCACCTCTTCGATTGCAGATATCTTGGACTGCACTTCAGCGTCGCCGTCCAGCTCAACATCTTCTCCACTTGTCCAGGGACCATTGGCTCCGCCGTTCAATGAGTCCTGCATGTGCAAAAAGGGAGACAAGGATTTATGCATGGAATTCCAGATCTAGAAGATGGATTGGTCATGCAGAGTTGCACATAGCTTACCTCGCGCAGAAGTGTAGAAGGGGACGAGATCAGGGCGCTTGGCACAATGGCTCCTGCACCAACACAAGAGAATGGCAACACAGTAGGATTGCGCACGGCAGAGGCCATTGGAACATGCGGCGAGTTCGATCCAGACGATGCATACTGTGGGGAGCTTGCAATTGAAAGTGGAGCTGACATTCTTTGCGATCACAAAGTACGATCTAGAGACAGTGCAGGGGAGCTCTTGAGGAAGTGATAGAGCGCTAGGTGGAAGAAGGGCTATTTATGAGAGTGGGATGGCTTTCTCCGGACCAGATCGTAGTGAGTACGAGCGGGCGTGGGCGGGCGCTCCAAAATGATTCAAAATATGAGCTAGATGATCAAAGTGTTGCATGCCGGTGCCGGGCCAAATGAAGTGACGCGTGGCCACTGTGATGTCGGTGCAGGACTCCACTCTTGTTGTGTGTTCCATGTGTAGTACCAGCAAAAAATATAAGTGCCAGTGGGTTTTTTGTTCGCTGTTTTTCATGGTGCGGTAACATCATTTTTTTTCTGATAATACAAATGTGTTCTCGGGAAACCAGGATAGAACTATGTATACAAGATGTTGTAATGAATTCATGTTTCCATAATCACACAAATATCTCAACACGACAGACAAAGTTGCGCCAGCAACATTCGTGGCATGAAAATTAGTACTGATACATTGCAAATGCATAATACAGGGTTCAGAAAAACACACATTACCAGGTTCTCATTATATTACAAATGCTAGATAGATTGGTGTACATGTAAGGATCATATCCCGGCAACAACTTGATCAGGAGCTTTCTCGGCAACATGTAGCACAATCTTAGGATTATTGCAGGTGTTCTTTCGATGTCCGCCTACCCCACATATTGAGCATTTTGCTTCTTCCTTTTCTTTTGAGGGATGTCACCCCTTTGTGGACATGTTGTGCTCTTATGACCAGGCCCACGGCAAATTGTGCAGAACCGTGTTCGCTTGCTGGTACTGGATATTAGATCATTATCCACATGTGGAACCAATTTGCTTTTTTGGACTTTGCTCCGTGATCATCATATGGAGGCTTGTCTCTGCTGTTGGTCAGACGTCCAGCTTTGCACTTGCGTTCCGGGGCAGATAAACCAATAAAATTCCCAATTGCACTACCTTCAGCATCGCTTCTGTACCCATTTGGTGGTACATGTACTAGACTTAGCTCTGAAACTTTCAATTTTTTGAATTCTAGTCTGTGCTGCAGTCCCAATCCATCCTGATCAGCAGCTAAAGGAGTGAGTTTATCCATAGCTGATCTAAGAAGATCCATTGCACAGTCATATGCAATTGGATTCGCATCGCCAAGTCTTACAACCTCCAAAGCATGGGTATAAAGATTGGTATGTCTGAATGTGATGGAATTAGCTGAGATTTGGTCTTTCTGCAGGTGTGCCAAGTGTCCTGGGAGTATATATGGTGCATCCCTAGTCCATCTTTTGATGATGTGCTTCGATGGTATTGTGGATATACCCAAAAAATCAAGCACCTGTAATTTTACAGTTCAATTGATTATGAACTGTTTTTAATTATACATATCACTCTATGTAGTAAGGTGGTACCTTGAGTGAATGACAGCAAAGTAACCCAGTGTGCTCGAAGCCAGCACATTCACAGATAAGCTCTTCCCCATCTTGAAGCACATGCACTATGTACATAACTTTGCACCACTTGGCATGCTTCTCGGGGTTATATCGATGTACATAATATTTTGATGCTTTTTCAACCTCCTCTACTCTGTATTGTTGTGCTTCATATAGGATATCACCAAATTTCTCTAACATTGCGATAGTGTAGATCTTGCTTGCATGGTATTCTAGTGGTGAATTAAGCTTCATAGCAGGTAACACCTGAGGCAAGAGAATGTAATGTTCAGTCAGTATCATTACTAGAATAAGCTTGGAATGGAATGATATATATACATGAATCAATTGAAATGAACTTACTATTTTTGTTCGCCGTTCTTCATAGTTTTCATTTGCTTCTCGGTCAAAAAGAAGTCTCATATACTCTCTTACAAATAAGTGCATCGGGCAGCTTGCTGGGACATATCCTTTGAGCATATGATTTGCACTCTCACTGCGTTGTGTGCTTGTCATTTTCGTGCAAAATTTCCCATTGAAGTATGGTTTGGCCCATTTTGATCTGACTTCATATATGTTTGCCAAGTAAGTGTTTTTTTGCAGACTGTACTTATCAATCAGCTCTGACCATGCTTTTTCAAATTCATCAACTGTGATCATGTGGTTCACAATTTTATGAAACTCTGCTATGAAGTTACTTCGCTTTGTGTAGTATGCTCCCAACTTTTCTTTGGACTTTTTAAGAACATGCCATTTGCACCAGCGATGTGTGGTGTATGGCATTACCTTTTCCAATGCAAGTTCCATAGCTCTGCATTGATCTGTGGAGGGAAAATTATTTTTATGTGTCAGTAACATCAGATAAAATTTTGAGTGAAAATATTGTTCATTTGCAAAATTGCAACAATTTTTCTAATCTTTCGCATGAACTAGAAGTTTAAGCATCAAATGATTCAGAGTTCCAGAGTAAATAGGATTCTGGAATTGATGAATTCACATGTTAGTATGGTTTGTGGATTTTTGCCACCCATCATGCAGATAAATTCACTGAACACACACTCGAAAGTTTCACATGTTTCATCCCTGACAAGCACACCTCCGAATATAATACTTTGGTAGTGGTTGTTCACTCCAACGAACAGCCCAAATGGCATATCATATAGGTTTGTCCGGTATGTGGTGTCAAATGTTATTGCATCTCCAAAGTAATGGTACTGCATCCTGCTTGCTCCAGTTGACCACAATAAATTCCTTATCCGGCTATCACAGTCAGGCTGTACTCTGTAGTACAAACCTGCATCCTTTGTGCCCAGTTCTGCGAAAACATCCATAGTTTTTCGGACATCATCATCTGCTTGGCCTCGGCTTATCTCGCCACATAGCCCCCTCAAAGCCCGCTTACTAAAAGGGACATTGCTCATTGACTCGAAGAAGCTACCAGTTATGTTGTAGACTTTACCAATGATGATGTTGTTCTCTCTAAGCTGCTTCACAAGGTCCCGTGTATATATATATCAATATGCTTATGTGAAGGCCAGTACAGATTCTCACCACATCTGGCTGTCAAAGCATGGTTGTGTGATGGACGGTGTTCACATATGTATCATCCACTGTCATTTGTTTGAAGGAGGCGTATCATTGCTGGGCACTCACATCGAATTGTGCGGGTGTTTCCTTTTTTTGGTTTTCCCTGAAATTGCAAGTATGTCAGACATTTATTGAGTGCACGTTTTACACAGATGTACATTTTTGTATGATCAATTTAGTTAGTACTCATCGAGCATCCACATACTATCTCTTGCATACACTTAGTTCTCTCCACATTGAGCCTACTTTTGCCATATCTTATTCCAAATCATATTTCCCAAGAATATAGATTGTAGTAGTCGTATGCTTCTCCCAATGAATCAAAGCTGTTTCCAACAGCTGGTACCACCACTGTCTCAGTTTTCTTCTCTGCATATCCTCTGAGACTTTTTTCAAGAGCGGAAACCCTCCCCGCACAAGGCGGACGTTCAATAGGAGCTTGCCCGACTCGAACTCTGCTGCAACAACAATTGAAATTAAAACAAAGTCATGTTGCTGCTAAGCATGGCTTATCTTTTGTTGTTAGGGAATAAGATGGTTTCAGTACGAAATGATGGCCAAGTATGTAAGCATGAACATGCCAAGATGGAGTAATGAACAATTCAACAAGGATGAGAGTAACTAATCAGTGGGGAATAAATCTGAAGTCTGGTAGCACAGTTCATAAGCTACAAGCATTCAAGAATGCACAGAACACGACATGGCATTGAACATTCCAACCAGGCTAAGTTCATAAGCAGGACAGAGCACTGAAGTTTTTAAGCATCCAAAATCAGAATTCTTCCATAGTCCATAATTTCTACATGGCATGAAGAATGTAAATTATTCAGATGACGTTTTCTCCTGATTGATAACATAATTTCTAAGTTGGCAAGTAAGCACAAGACAAGGGACCACATTGCAGCACCAACACATCAAAAAAATTCTGCAGCATACGAATCGCATTACCTTTTTGCCCATCCGGTCGCTTCATCGCCTTCTTCTTTAGCTGAGCATTGCGAATTTGTCGTTAGTAAGATTAGTGCATCGCACGTACTGTCGATGGCTAATTGGAGAGCAGGCGCCGGATCGCCAACATCCCCCATGCTTGATTCAGCAGCCGATTGTGTGAGAATAGTATCTTCCTCGCCATCCGGGCTGAAATCTGTGCCTTCAAGATCCGGCAGGGGAAACCTGCGAGAACAACCATGTAGACTTGAGGAATTTGTCGCAGGAGGCATTTGGATCGGAGAAGATGAGGCAGGAGCCATACCTGTCGACCGGATCTGAGAGAAACTCTAGCCCGTCGCCGGTCTCCTCCGCCGTCGCCATAAGGTCTCCTCTGTCTCGAGCGTTCTACATATCAGGCAAAAAAAAATTAAGTCGTTCCCCCGCCTTCTGCCTCTCCGCGGCCGCCTGACAGACGGGGTGAGAAAATGCAGTTGGCCAGCATTGGCATTTAGTGTCTTCTCTCACGGAAACGGAGTTTGGTGGATGGAACTTTGTGTATGGACGTCCATGTACTGTCAAAAGCTTCCATGTACCGGTAGTACATTTGCGACGTTTGACATTACTGTCAGTTTACATACTTTTGTACCGTATGTATGCCCACAGACGTATTGTTCACAGATACGCCAGGCCGACAAGGCCCACCAAAATGGAATATCGCCATTGGGCCACGTATCAGGAGCAAGCGCACCCATGCTGTCTAACGCCACTCTCATCTTCTTCAGCAATTTTCTAAAGTTTTTGTCCAGAGGGAAACTTGGTGAAGGAAGTATTAGCTAGGATTATCCAAATGAGTTGAAATTTTGCAAGCTACTTCATTTGTTCAAATGTGTTTTCTTCTCAATTCATTGTTTTCGTGAATGCGTTTTCCAATTTATGTTTTTCTTTATTCAAATAATTTATAGTGGGTAAGTACCACTATATATTTAATGTTTGTACTAAGAGAAGGGTCAAATAGAGTTTGTTTCCTATAATAATCAACTAACTGGGACTTGTTTTAGTAGTTAACGCGCGTGGGCTGAAATCAGGTTGGAGTTTTTCCTTCACGATTTCCTTCTTTTTTCAGTAGGTTGCTGGCGCGGCCCACTACGCGGCACGTGCGAGTGCCAGCAGCGTGAACCGGCGCTTACATAGGACCTCGCCGAGGCAGCGCAGGCGCGACAGGCAGCCTGCTATTGCACCGTGTGGCCGTGCCGGCGACCCGGCCATATGGCATCCGACGGCATCCTGCCATCCTGCGCGAACAGTGACTCGACGTCAGTGAGTTCGTTCAGTCTTTCAACAAATTATAAGTACATATTCATCTATGATCCGTCCTGCAATTTCAATGTACACGAAGCTTCAAGTTTGATGTATAAATTTCTAATTCAATCTTTCACTGGCACGTACTTCATCCATCCTAAATTTCTATGTACATGTCTAGGGTTCTAATGTATAAATTCTATGTACATGCCTAGGGTTCTGATGTATAAACTTTTTCTCGAAGCACTGAAGTATTATTGCTGTCGATGAAGGCATTTGAATTTGGTTTTTATTTGAGGTAATCATGTCATATTAGTTTCATTTTGTCATCTTTTAGTCTTTCTGTCTAATATGGCATTGTTCAATAATTATTATAATCAAATATCAAAATAAAGATGTGTGGTTCAAAGTTTAATAAGCAAATGAAGTTAGAGCATTTACAATCGGACTTGGCAAATCCGGCCCGTCAAACGCCCACGGGCGCATCTGGACGGGCCCTCACATTTCTTTCCGTGCATCCACATATCTCAAATCCAGACTCTTAAATCCATGCAAATACATGCACGTCAATCATGCAACACAATATCACACGTAAATAGCAATTGTTGGTATCAAGCATAGATAGCGTTTACATAAAATTTATTTGAAGTGCCAAACTCAAGCATTGCCTCCTTGGTTGCCATTGTGGATCCTCATGTGCTCCACAAGATCATTGAGTAGTTGTGTGTACACCTGCTGATCTCGAAGTTCTGATGCATCTGCAGAAAGTTCATAAGCTGAGCCACATCTTGATCTTTTGGATTTTCAACTTGTTCTCCGGGTGGTTCGAAATCATGGGTTTGGGCTACACCATCACCCTCATTCTCGACAATCATATTGTGTAGAATAACACAGCATGTCATCGGCTGCCACAAAGTTTCCGATTCCCACATCATTGCAGAGCTCTGCATAATTCCCCAACGAGCCTGAAGCACACAAATGCCCTCTCTACGTCCTTCCTAGCCGCTTCCTGCATTGTTGCAAGGTGGCTCTGTTTATTGCCACGCGGCTCGGATATGGTCTTCATAAACGCCGTCCACTGAGGATAGATACCATCGGCAAGATAGTACCCCACGTTGTAGTCCCGACCATTGACGGTGTAGTTGCACGGTGGTGATTCCCCATTGCAAAGCCTCCTGAACACCGGAGATCGTTGAAGCACGTTGATGTAGTTGTGAGAATCAGGTATTCCATTGAAAGCATGCTAAATCCACAAGTCATGTGATGCCACCGCTTCTAGTGTGATGGTGGCCTCTCTTGTGTGATCTGATACATTCCCCGCAGATCTTTGGGGCACTTCTTCCATTGCCAATGCATGCAATCAATTGATCAGAGCATTCCTGGAAACCCCTTGTCTCTCTAATGGCCAACAACTTCTCTTGCGCATTTGGTTCTCTGAGATACTCAGGTCCAAACACCTCAACCACGACGCGGGAAAATTTGACAGTGGTCTTCAGGCACGTGCTCCCCCCATCCTAACCATCTCACCAACGGCGTCTGCAGCAATATCAAGTGCAAGCATCCTCAGAGCAATCATGCACTTCTGCTTGGCCGAGAAAGAGAGTTGGCCGCAGCAATCCCTTCTGAGCTTGAAGTAGTCGTCATGTGCCTCCATTCCCCCCACAATGCACAAAACAATGTTTTCTGCATGCGAAAACGACGACGAAACCATGGATCTTCCGGGGAAAGCAGGTGTGGGAGCAAAGTAGTCATTGTGCAGTAGCTTTGCTATGGACACCCTATTTCGGTTGATCACTCTTCTCCCTTTGATTGAGCCCTTAAAGTTGAGAATATACTCCACTTGCCGTTCCATTTCCTCTTGCATGCTCATGTCCACTTCTTCGTCCAAATCCGACGAATCGAAGAACTCATCTTGAATCATTTGGTCAAGCTCTGTCGATCCATACTCCTCGTCCGATGAAGCATCAGAATCCATCATTTACCTAACAAAACCACAATAGTTCCGGGCGGTCAATGTGTCGAACACATCAAGTGCAAGGCGGAGCGGAGAGTTGCCAGACGTACCACGGTGGCGTCCGGGCCGGCAACGACATTTCCCGCGGCGAGGACGGGAGCGCTCTTTCGGAGCTGGCGGCGAAGAGCCTGGGAACGGCGGCGGAGCGCAAGACGGACGACGCAGAGGAGGAAGAAGAGAGGAGATAGCAAATGGATCCTGCTGGTCTTTGGGGTAAATTTGGTGCAATTTAGGGTGGGGTCTGGCTGTCGGGTCCAACGTGGTGGGCGTGCTCGGGCGTCCTCATATCAACCCCATATGTAGGATGGGTATGGGGATGCCAGTTAGCCCGGGCGTTTGAGGGCCGTATGAGAGGCCCGTCTGGGTCAAAAAATCGTGACCAAGCAGTGACTGGACGGCCCGCTCAGACATATGAGACGAGTTTGAGAGGGCCGATTATAGATGCTCTTATACAACTCGAAGAAATATCTAAAAAGAGAGCCCTCCTACCGTCATTTGAAGATGCATTATCTGCTAAAGCACATTTTCAGATCAAATGCCTTAAACCATAGTTTTTTTATCTGTTCAAGCACGTTTTTGCATCAAATGCCGTAGACGATAATTGTTTGGCATTAGCCCTAGATGCTCTAACAAGTGTGTGGCTGGCAAAGCAGGGGCGGAGAGAATATGAAATAGACCAACCCTGTGTACGACTAGGACTCGCTAGTCAACGCAATCCCCATTCCCAAACACGCAATCGCGAACGCCGCGAGCAGCGCAGGAGCAGCCCCACCGCGGCAGCATGGCAGCACCGCCGTCCCACCCGTTCGTCTACATCGACGCCGAGGCGCTCCACGCTGTCCTCCCCTTCCCGTCCCTGATCTCCCACCTCCGCGCGGGCCTCCCCGCCTTCTCCGGGGACATCCACTGCCCGCACCGCGTCTCCTTCCCGGTCCCGACCTCGCCCTCCGCGGCGCTGCTCCTCATGCCCTCATGGTGCGCCCACCCGTCGCTCCCCTACCTCGCCCTCAAGGCCGTCACCTCCTTCCCCGCCATCTCCCCGCACCGCCCCTCCATCCACGCCACCGTCTCCCTCTTTAGCTCCGCCTCCGGCGTTCCCCTCGCATTCGTCGACGGCTCCGCGCTCACCCTCCTCCGCACCGCCGCGGTCTCCGCCCTCGCCGCCTCCCTCCTTGTCTCCCCCTCCCGGCCTCCCTCCACCCTTGCGCTCGCGGGTGCCGGGGCCCTCGCGCCCTACCTCGCCGAAGCGCACCTGTCCGCCCTCCCCTCACTCTCCCGCATCTTGGTATGGAACCGCACCAAGGCCAAATCCGCCGCGCTCGTCGGCAAGCTCCGGGACGCGCACCCGGGAGTGGCCGTCGAGGAGGTCGACGGCATGGACGAGGCGGTGTCCGCGGCGGACATCGTGAGCTGCGCGACGGGGTCGCAGGAGCCGATCGTGCGGGGGGAGCTGCTGAAGCCCGGGGCGCACCTGGACTTGGTGGGGTCGTTCACGCCGGCGATGCGGGAGTGCGACGACGAGGCGCTCCGTCGGGGCAGGGTGTTCATCGACTTCGAGGCGGCGTTGGAGGAGGCCGGGGAGCTTGTGGGCGCGCTGCAGCGCGGCGTGCTGCGGAGGGACGATGTGGCCGGGACGCTCGCGGAGCTGGCCGCCGGGACCGTGGCCGGGCGGCGCAGCGACGATGAGATCACCGTGTTCAAGTCCGTTGGCACGGCCGTCGTCGACCTCTTGGCGGCACAGTTGGCCTACGAGAACTACACTGCAGCCAAGAACGCGTGAGGTCGATCGATGCATGGAACTCATGGATTGCGAGAAGGCTCTTCTTCTTGCAGGCAGGTTGCACAGGCTGTTCCTTCCAGAGAGTCATCATCGGCGAAATACAAATAAATAAAACTGATCAGATTAGCACTTTGTGCTTCTGATCATCAGCTGTGGCATATTCACCTGTTGTTAGGCCGATTCGAATAAGAAGGTGTTGTCATCTCATGGTACCTTGTCTCTGTATCCGATTCTAATAACATGGTGTGGTATTTATCAAGGAGAATTACAGTGTAATGGCTTATCTGTGAACTCAAATCTTTTGTATTGTTGGCATTGTTGCTGAGTGTGCTGCAATGTCAGGACTCAGGTCTCAGGACCATCATGATTGCCAATATGGCTGCACATCTGAATGCTCTCTCGGGCAAGGATGAGCTCAGACCTTAATACAAGTGTTTTCAGATAATGGGAGAACCCTAATAAGTGGGGGGAAGCAGATGTAAAAGCATCACCGGATGGTTGTAGTTGAGCCATCTTTATCTTCAAAAGCAACTGATCCCACATCACTTGTTTCTTGGTTTTCAATATTATTAGCTTATACCGCGCAATTGTAATATAGGCATCCATCTGGAACTGTGACAACCTAGCTAGCTCGGTTCTCTGCAAGGAAAACTCATGTTGAGTGACTGACATGTCCTGGAGGACCTGAATTTTGTTGAAGGAACACCGAGCGTAACAGCTCCATGAGTGTCATAACGAGCTTAGAATGATTTTGTCTATGTTGAACGGCATTGGGGTTAAGATAAAGCATGAAGACATTCATGGTATGCCGTAATACAAAATTGTGTGTTCTGACAGATTGACTTCACTAGCTTTTATCGTCGCATTTACAGCAGCAGAGATTGAGTTCCCAAATGATCCAGATTCTTTATACTGAATTACCTGCCGTTATGTACTCCTACGCCGGTTGTGTTAACTAAGGTGTACATGGTTTCGAACATCAAAGTGGCTGTAGTTTAGTGGTGAGAATTCCACGTTGTGGCCGTGGAGACCTGGGCTCGAATCCCAGCAGCCACACTTCGATATTTTTTATGAACTTTTTTTTTGAGCAAACCTGTCTGAACTTTTAAGCCGACGGGCACGATGAGGTCGCATCGGTAAACTGGGCCTAGCCCAAAATAGGGACAGGCGAAAACGGACAAACCCAACCTCACCACCGACCTCCTCAACTCAAACTCCCCCCCTTGCCACAATGGCGCAGTCCGACAGCCCATGCCCTGCAGCGCCGGCGCTGTTCCACCCCGCTCCCTAGCGCCGGTCGCCCCGGTGAGGATCACGAGCCCCCGACGACTCCCTGCCCGTAGATTTTGCTCCAATTCCAAATCCCAGCCCGCAGAAGGCCCTCCAGGTATATGCTTCGATTCTTCTTCGGATTTGATCTAGGGTTCGGGGCGTGCGGCTCCGGGGCGCATTTCGTCATTTATGTCGCCTAAGTTTGTTCTCCGGTTCGATTAGAGCTAGCAATCGCAGGAGGCACCATCTATCTTCTGCTCATGCCCCGCGTTACCTTGGCAAGCAGATTTTGATTTACTCCGAGGAAACGTTGGGGATGCATCCCGTCCTACATAATTTGCAGCATCTTGTATGTGTTAATTAAGCGTGCTGCATGTTTATATGTGCCACTCTTTGAAATTTTGAATCCCTGAACTTGCATTTGTTGTTGCATAGTCATTGCTTCAGAGGATCTGCATCACTGCAGATAATGAGGAACTTAACTATGGTTACTCTTGCATGCTATGTTTATGCCCTCTGACCCCTGTCCATGTAGGATACTTAACTTATGTGATCATACAAGGCTTAATTGTTTCTTTAAACATCAAGAAAGTGTTGCTCTTTTACTAGACGGACTAGTACGGAAACAATGTTGTAATTCCCTAATGTTGGTTATCTTGCTTAATACCACTACTTTGTCAGTTTTGTTATCTTGGTTGGCACTTTCGAAATGTTGGTTACCTTTCCTGTTCATATATTTCTCATGAGATTTTCAACGCTCATCATGTGTATAGAATTTTGAACTGAGAGTTTTGTTTATGTCATACTCCCTCCTTCCCAAAGTTCTTGTCTTAGATTTGTCTAGATACGGATGTATCTAATACTACTAAAACGTGACTTGATACATCCGTATTTAGACAAATCTAAGACAAGAATTTTGGGACGGAGGGAGTATGTTACAGTAGGCTCCTGGTTACTTATTCCAATAAGATGAGTAGGATCCATCGTGAATTTTAACAGTTCGTTTATTTATTCCGAGCACTTAAAATATAATTTTGGATGCTGCAGATGTCTGATTCCTCGGAGCCCTCGAAAGAAGGTTCTTCAGCCAATGGTTCCAGTGCTCTCCAAAAAACTGGAGCCTGGAGTAGCATATTGAGCACTCTTGTCCAGCAAGCTTCAGTGTATGGCTTGGCTGCTGGCTATTGCCTGTCAGCATCTTTGCTCTCCATTATCAACAAATGGGCAATCATGAAATTTCCGTACCCTGGGGCACTGACAGCTCTACAGTACTTGACCAGTGTTGTTGGAGTTCTCCTATGTGGACAAGCAAAGCTTATTGAGCATGATGGCCTTAATTTCGCAACCATGTGGAAGTTCTTACCTGCTGCTGTGATGTTCTACATCTCCATCTTCACAAACAGCGAACTCTTGCTGCATGCCAATGTGGACACTTTCATTGTGTTTCGCTCTGCTGTGCCAATATTTGTGGCCATCGGAGAGACGTTGTACCTTCACCAACCATGGCCGTCATTCAAGACATGGCTTTCACTATCCACCATACTTGGTGGAAGTGTGATCTACGTTTTCACAGACAACCAGTTCACTGTGACTGCTTATAGCTGGGCAGTGGCCTACCTAGCGAGTATGTCCATTGATTTCGTATACATCAAGCACGTTGTCATGACCATTGGCCTGAATACATGGGGCCTTGTGCTTTACAACAATCTTGAGGCCTTGATGCTGTTCCCCATTGAGCTCCTTGTAATGGGAGAGTTCAGTCAGATGAAGGTCGACAGCTCTAAGATGACAAACTGGCTGTCATTCGACATGATTCTTCCGGTTGCTTTGTCGTGCCTTTTTGGGTTAGCAATATCCTTCTTTGGGTTCTCCTGCAGACGGGCTATCTCAGCTACTGGATTTACGGTCCTTGGTATAGTAAACAAGCTCCTCACTGTCGTGATTAATCTGCTTATCTGGGACAAGCATTCATCCCTTGTGGGAACAATTGGGCTGTTGATCTGCATGTCTGGTGGTGTTCTGTACCAGCAATCCACCACAAAGCCCAAGGCACCAAATTTTGAGCCGAAGGAAGAGAATGATGAGGAGGAACAGAAGTTGCTTGAGATGCAGCAAGGGCGTGACATCAGTTCAACTGTAGAGCATTCCTCATAAGCCTCATCGCTGAAGTTTGTTATTGATACTTCACTTCTGGCAACAGCTTGCGTGGACCATTGGAAAGAAATGTTTATCTACAGGGCATAGTTGAGATTAGTTAGGAAATGCAGAGGAACCTCAGTATCATTCTACGATTCTTTTTTGTTATTGTTTATCGTTTTCGTTTGTTGGAGAGAATCGCTGAGCTCTAGGGCCTGATCCCTGAATGCAGATCATATACAGTAGACATTTCCTTATTTAGTTATTTTATCATTTTCTTTCTTTTCTCTTAGTTGTTAGCAGTAGCGGTGGCACATTGAGTGGAAAACATATTGTATGTTCGTACTGTAATGGACTACCTTTTTGGCGAGCCATCACCCCATGCACTGTCTTTTTGGGTTCATTTTGAGATAGCAAACCACACTAGATGGAAAAATACCCTTAACAGTGTACTTTATAAGGGTAATACGAAAATTGCTATTGGAGCTTGGGCTCCATGGAGCCCCTTTTCTGAAAAATTCAAAAATCATTTTATGAAGTTTCAAGTTTGTGAATTTTCTTGAAAAATTCAAGAATTCAAAAATCATTTTTTGAAGTTTCCTGATTTACGTTAAGATGTCCCAGCATGCGGCTCCCCCAATCATGACCACTACAATGAGTAGTGGACATGACAAAATTGACATCCCCAAACTTCTAGTTTTGTGTATTATTGGCACAATTGACATTAATAGAATTTATAATAACATCATTACAATCATGCTTTTTGTTCAAGGAGATATCATGGATCACTTTATAAATTTATTCTTTTAACATTCCGTCACAATTTTCAGATTCACGATTTTCAAGCAAAGCTTCACAAAGATAATCTAGTGCACTCAACTCACTAGCAATTGGTTCATCATAATTTGATCTTTTGAAAAGATTAGCAAGTGGATGAGGATTCATATGTCTTTACTTTTCTTGTTTCTTTTTTAATTTTTGAGTGTTGACATTAAGGCAATAAAAGCAAGCGAGCAAGCAAACAAATAAATGAACAAAAAGGCAAAGGAAAAATATTTTTGTATTTTTGTAAAAAAAAATTAGAAGTGGGGGAGATGAAAACGAGAGGCAGGTGACAAATAATGTAAATGCAAAGAGATGAAAGTTTATGCGTAGGTACTTGATAGATGTTGATGATATCTTCTCGGCAATGACGCTAGGAATTCTTCCTGCTACTTGTGAGTTGCGTTGGGTTTTCCCCAAAGAGGAGGGGATGATGCAGTACAGTAGAGATAAGTATTTCTCTCAGTTATGAAACTAAGGTCATCAATCCAGTAAAAGAATCACGCAACAACTCGTTAACAGTATCTGCACATAAAATAACAAATCCTTGTACCAACGTGAACAAGGGGTTGTCAATCCCTTGGCGGTTAATTACAAGATTAAATCATATGGTGATAGATAGATAGATCGAACAAAAATACAAATAAAAACAAATAAAGTAAAATTGCAGCAAGGTATTTTAGGGTTTTAAATATATGATAGAAGTAGACCCGGGGGCCATAGTTTTCACTAGAGGCTTCTCTCTTGAAAATAGCATACAGTGGGTAAACAAATTACTATTGGACAATTGATAGAAAAGCAAATAATCATGACGATATCCGAGGCAATGATCAATGAATATAGGCATCACGTCCGAGACAAGTAGATCGAAACGATTCTTCATTTACTACTATTACTCCACGCATCGACCACTATCCAGCATGCATCTAGAGTATTAAGTTTATAAAGAACGGAGTAACGCCTTAAGCAAGATAACATGATGTAGACAAAGTAAACTCACGCATGAATAAACCCCATCTTTTTATCCTTAATGGCAACGATACAAATACGTGTCATGTCCCCTACTGTCACTGGGGTTAAGCACCGCAAGATCGAACCCATCACAAAACACCTCTCCCATTGTAAGATAAATCAATCTAGTTGGCCAAACCAAATCAACAGATCGGAGAGATACAAAGCTATAACAATCATGCATAAAAGAGTTCAAAGAAAACTCATGTAATATAATGGATAATCTGATCATAAACTCACAATTCATCGGATCCCAACAAACACATCGCAAAAAGTAATTACATCGAATAGAACTCCAAAAACATCGAGGAGAACATTGTATTGAAGAACAAACAGAGAGAAGAAGCCATCTAGCTACTAACTATGGACCCACAGGTCTATGGTAAACTACTCACGCATCATCGAAAGGGCAACAAGGTTGATATAGAGCCCCTCTGTGATTGATTCCCCCTTCGGTGGAGTGTCGGAGAAGGCCTCCGGATGGTATCTCTCGACATAGGAACTTGCGGTGGCGGAATAAGTATTTCGTGGACACCTTTGTTGGTTTCCCGATTTTAGAGAATTTATAGAGTCAGAGTTAGGTCAAACGGAGCACGTGGACCCCACGAGCCACCAGGGTGCGCCCTGGTGCCTTGTGGGCCACTGCTCCATCTTCTTGTCCCCTCCCGAAGCTTCCAGGGTTTCTTATGTTCAGAAAAAATCTCCAAAAAGTTTCATGGCATTTGAACTTCGTTTGGTACTGATATTCTGAAAAACCAAAAGTAGGTAGAAACAACAACTCGCATTGGGCACTAAGTTAATAGGTTAGTCCCAAAAATGATATATAATTGCTTGTAAGTGTATATAAAACATCTAAGGTTGGTACTATAATGGCATGGAACAATAAAAAATTATAGATACGTTGAAGACGTATGATACCTACTTTTTGCTCTTTGTTATTATTAGTTAAATGCAATAAAATGCCATGATTATCCTGTTTTCTGAATTACCTGTGCAATAAAAATAGCCCAAAAATAAAAGTGATCGGAATGATGTGAAATTTCAACATGAATTTTTATAGAATATTTAAGAATTCCTGACACTGAAAACACCCCGGGGGCTGCCCCAGGTGCCCACGAGGCACCAGGGTGCGCCCACCCCCCTAGGCGCGCCCTGGTGGCTTGTGGGCCACATAGGGCCCCACTCACTTATTACTTTAGCTCACTTCGTCCCTTAACTCTAGGAAAAATTCCTGGTAGCTCTCTCTCTCTCTCTCGTGTTCTTGCTCCCAAACCTAAGATTTTCAAACTCTTTGCTTTGAGTTCTGTTTTTGAAACTATTTTGGGGGATTGCTACTTGGTATGTGACTCCTCCATTGCTGCAATCAGTTTTTTCTTTAGTGGATTATATGTTGCATAATTAGTTGCTCTTGGTGCTACTAAAAATGAGCTTGCATGTTGAATTCTTTGAGTTCCAAGTAGTTTGAATGCTTGATATAGCCTCTAGACATCCATATGAGTAGTTGCTATCAATCTTGTGAAGTTTTACTGATATCATTTTGTGGCCCAAAATTTTAGAAATTTGTTCGTGGGAAAAATGAATTTCTTCTAGAGGAGTTCCTCTAAACGGAATGCCAAGGGAGTCCTTGGGGACTCCTCAGACAGCGACCTCAACATTTCACGTAGGACAGAGGTTCAACGTGCGAACGGCCACACAATGCCTTCATGAATGAAGCCGGATTCTACTAAGAGTTCGCGCAGTTTGTTGCAAATGATGGATTGACTGACTTTGTCGCGGATGAGTATTACCAACACCACATCCTTACGAATTACTTTATGCAAAATTTTCATTTCCTGAATAGGCTTGAACCTCTTTGATTTATATGATGAACATTATCATATACCGTTGTCGGATTGCGGGTTCTGGCAAACCCTTGTGAGGTTTGAACTCTGGGGTGCGCACGAAGAACACTCTCTTCCTCGCTCGCTCGCTCAACGATTCCATGGCCTAGCTTGACAGACCCAAAGAACAAGAGATGCGAGGGTTTATACTAGTTCGGGCCACCTTGCGGTGCAATACCCTACTCCAGTTTGTGGGTGGATTGCCTCGAGAGGCTGAGGATGAACTAGTACAATGGATGAACCGCCTCAGGAGGTGAGGTGTTCTTGGGATGAATGAACTGGTGAGCTCGTTAGGGTGGAATGAATCTGATTCCGACCCCTCTCCATGGTGGTGGCTAGGCCCTATTTATAGTGGCCTTGGTCCTCTTCCCAAATGTTAGGTGGAAAGGGATCCCACAACAGCCAAGTTTGAAGGGGGACAACAAGTACATGCTATCCTGACAAAAGGTGGTCTTCGCCTGCCGAAGGCTCTGGTGGTGATGCTGTTGTGGGCTCTGTGATGACCTCCGTCCTGTCGTCCTTCTAGTCTTGGTCTTGTTGCACCGATATGGAAACCTTTTTCTGATTCCTCGGGACCTCGCGCCTGCGCTTGCCTCCTTAGCACCAAAGAGGAAACTGGTACACCGCGCCCGCTGGCGCCCGCCTGGCCTTGGTCGTCATGGCTCACGTCACGTGAACCTCGCGAGGTGCTCCCTGCATAGATATCTCCGCTCCTCAGGAGCTGATGACCCACAAGTATAGGGGATCTATCGTAGTCCTTTCGATAAGTAAGAGTGTCGAACCCAACGAGGAGCAGAAGGAAATGATAAGCGGTTTTCAGCAAGGTATTCTCTGCAAGTACTGAAACAAGTGGTAACAGATAGTTTTGTGATAAGATAAATTGTAACGAGCAACAGGTAACAAAAGTAAATAAAGTGCAACAAGGTGGCCCAATCCTTTTTGTAGCAAAGGACAAGCCGGAACAAACTCTTATATAAGGAAAAGCGCTCCCGAGGACACATGGGAATATCGTCAAGCTAGTTTTCATCACGTTCATATGATTCACGTTCGATACTTTGATAATTTGATATGTGGGTGGACCGGTGCTTGGGTGCTGTTCTTACTTGAACAAGCATCCCACTTATGATTAACCTCTATTGCAAGCATCCGCAACTACAACAAAAGTATTAAGGTAAACCTAACCATAGCATGAAACATATGGATCCAAATCAGCCCCTTACGAAGCAACGCATAAACTAGGGTTTAAGCTTCTATCACTCTAGCAACCCATCATCTACTTATTACTTCCCAATGCCTTCCTCTAGG